TGGAGGTCATCCAAGTGTCCTACAGTAGTTTCCCAATGCTCATTACCTGTCAAAAATCGACTAGTAAGAGGAGCAGAATCCATTCGATTTGTCCTGTGAGCTCTCATGTTTTTTTTTTTTTTTATATATAGGTCAAGCAATAGAAATCCAACTCCAATTCACCTCATTCAACAACGACACCATTTTCACCAATCATCACAAAATCAGTCAACAAAATACATTATATGCATGGCTGACAAGAAAAGGCTCAAGGTTCAAACGGGCTACTAGCGATAATAACGTTTAGGATCAAAGAACAAGGCTAAAGAAAGCTAATCAAACAAAACGCCTCAATCACTTTCGCAATTTCAAACCCTAATCGATTCCTTTCAAAGAAACTCAAGGCAAGTTCTAATCATTCAAGAATATGACCAATGTCTCACAAGAAAGAAGAGTAAGGATCAAGACCTCACAAGGTAAATAAATGTCACTCAAAACGACCAAGCATATATCGAGGCAATGACCACACGTCCGTCATCACAACTTCCCAATTTAAGCACACATTCATCAACAAATCATATAATCCACCAATACCACATGCTCAATGACACAAAAACCTAAAACTAGTCTGGCCCACCATATAAGCATGTAAAAATCCGAATAACTCCCCCACACTTATAATGAGGCAATGTCCTCATTGCTTCAATACCAAACATGAAGTCAAATAAAGGACCTAGCAATTTCATATCATGAACCAATACTAGCAGCTAACACAAGAATAAAAGACGCAAATTAAAAGACAAGAGAAAGAACAACTCAAAAAGGATAGAAAGAAAAGGGAAAAAGGGTGTGCAAACCGAAGTGTATCGAGGAGAGTAAGCATTCACGTGCAAGCCATTCGCCTATGCTCAGCCTAGAATCTCTTCATTCAACTCAATTCTCCTGCCCGAGCTTGCAACTAGTACCTGCCAAGAAAAACACAGAACTCCAAAACTCCCATTATTCAAAGATAACATAAAAGAGCAACAAGAAAAATATCTAAGAAAGCGATAAATCACTTGGGTTGCCTCCCAAGAAGCGCTTGTTAAACGTCATTAGCTTGACGAAACCTGGGGTGAATCATCCAGGGTCTAGGAAAAAGTCACGATCGTGCCACGTCTTTGTATTCTCGAGAAGTGGCAGTGCTGGTTCTAAGGCCAGAAGGCGGGCACTGTGGGCACGAGTGGCTATGTTCTTGATGTAGTGAGTCTGTTCACGAGCAATCCCCAATGTTTGGAACAGAGCCTTCTCCAACCGAGCTCCCTCATCAACCTCGGCAGTCAAAGGCGCATCAATGGAGCAAATCGAAGAAAATACCATCACCTCTGGAAAGCAGTGCAGTGGCCTCGGAGGCGGATGCTCCAACTCGAAGGTGGAAGGAGGGTCTTGTGAATCGACCTCCTCCTCTAATGCATCGTACCCGGCTCGTGGGAGAATGTCATCCTCTTCGGCCTCACACATTTGCTGCAGAATTCGAGCCTGAGGGTGAAGCATGAGGTGTGGGTAGTCGACTTGTGCCTCAATCGAATCGAGACGTACAATGAGACTCTCTATTTGTGTGCTCAGCCGAGCACATCCGAGCTCAATCTCTTTTTCTTGGTTTGCTCGGGCCATCATCCAATCGAAGATGAGGTCGAGCTTGGTATTGTACTCTGAGGAGTCGTCTTGGAGCTCATTTAGACACTCGGGCACGGGATGTGGATCCACAACCTCGAGCTTGTGGGCCTGGGACTCGATCGAGTCGATGCACCTTGCTAGACTTTCCACTTGCTCGCTCAATCGGGCACATCTGAGCTCAATCTCCTCCTCTTGTTTCGCTCGGGCCATCAATCGATCTAAGATGAGATCGAGTTTGGCATTGTATGCGGCCTCCTCTTCTCGAGCTGATTTGCAGTCTATGAAGTCCATAATCTGCCTGAGCTTATCATTAAATGCATAGGACTCAGAAGGTTGCTCAATCGGAAGATTGTTCCAGCACTGCTCGGAAGAATACGGGTAAAGTTGGGTGTGGTACCCAGGGAAATAGACCGGCTCGTCGTTCCAAGATGGGTAATGCAGGGAGGAGTACTCGTGATTGAAATTCATTGTACCTGCACACCAGAACCAAACAACCACGCGTAGCCAAGAAAAAAAGAAGAGAAAAGAAGGCAAAAACTAAAACAAGAACAAAAGAGAAAAACACATATGCACAAAAGAAACAAAAACACTAAAAATACTAAAATAAAGAGAAACACAGAAAATAAGATCAAACACCAAAACTAAATATCCTACTTGCCTTCCCCGACAACGGCGCCAAATTTGTTGTGTACAAATTGTTATATTTACCGAGTACCGAATCGAAGGATTCGTTCCCCGGGTCGATCTCACAAGGAAGGCGGTTCGGAATTTAGCTTCGGTATTGATTTCACACAAAAAGAAAATAAAATCCTAAACACTCTAATCAGATAGGGGTTTTGAATAATTACTAACCAAGAAATAATAAAAAACAATAATCTACCTAAAAAAGTGAACGGAACAAAGATGGAGAAGCTAGAGAATCGGGGATAATTAATTCAAGTTCTAGCAAAGCCGGGCATTCAATTGTTCGGTTCTAGATTGACACTCTCGCTTAAAAATCTAGTGGTTCGCTCCCAATAACTCTTCGTGACAAGGGATTGAACATAGACGAACAAGCTCGGGCATACAACACAGGCCAATTATCTCAATCCCAATAACTTTTCGCAACAAGGGACGGGTCTTTGACAAGCACGTATTTCAATCTCAACCCATAGATTATTCAATTACGAAATTATCTATCTCATGCAAGCCTAGGACTACGACTTCTCTCCTTTCGGTTCAAGAGGTTACTAATTTAATTAGAAGGAGTTTAATCAACTAATCATGGGAATCAACAAAACCAAACTCGACAACTCAATATCCAATTGTTACCAACTGCAAGATCGAAGTGTCACCCTTCGATTACATCAAACTATCAAACACAATTTCATCAATTCCTGATCAATTCAACTCATAAAAGCATGAACAAATCGAGCCCGACAAATGCACGTTAAACAAGAACAATCATCCCCTATCCCTAGCAGAAGGAATTAGCTACGTAAATCAAATTCAACAAACATAATCATTCTACTCAAGTCAACCATTATTCATGAATTAAACAAGAGAAAGAAATACTTACAATCAATCCAAGTTCAAATGTTGAATTCGAATTACAAGCTTAATCCCTAACTAAGAAAAAGAAGAAGAAAAATGAAAAATAATGATTAAGAGAAGAAAAAAAAAACGAAGAAGAAGAAGGGAAGAAAAGAGGAGAACAGAGTTTCGTGTTTTATCTCGGGCCTAGTGTTCGTCTCCCAGAAGGGGAGAGAATTTTTTTGTTGGTCCCGTACATATATTTATAGGCAGTCACGAGTCACGGGCGTGGAAGGCTGGCACGGCGTGAAGGATCCATATGGCGCGGCGTGGAGGGGCTGCCGCGGCGCGGGGAGAGCAGGCGTCGCGGCGCGGTGGAGTGCAACGGTGCGGAGGGATGTTCTGGGAAGTCTCTGTCCAGGCGTGGGGCTGTTTCGCGCCACGGAGGGGGTCAGTGCCGCGCCGCGGCGCGCGGGGCTCCTGGTTCGTCTGCGCGTTTCAGGCTCGTTTGGGCTCGTCCGAACTCGGAATTGAGTTCCGTTTTTCCATATGCGTTGCCAATGAAGCCCTCTATGCAATGGTGCTTTCAAATCGAATTTATTCTTGAAAACCTATTCTCCCAAAGCTTTTGACTTGAAGTTGGCGGCTTTCGTGCGCGACTTCATATATCGGTCCCGTCCATGCTCGTACGAACTCGAAATCTAATTCCGTTTTTTCCTATATATCACCAACAAACTCATCTATCCAACCATGATTTCCCGAACCATTTTCGAGGTATATCGATTCCTCACGGGGCTTGCGACCTGCACACTAAAAACAAGAAGAAAAACGTAGAAAACCGACAAAATACACGAAAAACACATAAAAAGCCAAACTAGAACAAGACGCACAATAGACTACAAAACGAACTAAAAACCAACTAAAAGACCTAATATGGGGAAAAAAGAAAGGCAAAATGACAACGAAAAACGCAACAAAAATGGGACAAACATGAAGTTGGCCATTAACTCTTACCACTTGTCAGATATTCTATTACAGGAGCTGAGAACGGACGTGCCTGTCGAGAGCGTGCGCACAACGGCCAAAATCTGGGGGAGAGAAGAGTGAACATTTTTAGGTTAGACTCAAATCAAAACAATGTCGTTTTGAAATTAAATTGAAACGACGCCGTTTCGACATGAAATTGGACACGCGGCACTTAAAGAAGGCAAGTAACTCCTTTTTATATATATAAGAGAATAGATATAAACATTCAGTTAAAGAAATTAAATTATATTATTCATATAGAATTTGTCTTAATTGACCGATTTGAGTTGCTAGGTTTATATTTTATATATTCTCGATTTGAATTGTATGAATTCATGATCTCTAAGATTCGGATTTATATATCCTTAACAGATATTTTATTGCATCGAAAAGGAATGTTCAGGTCAAATTTGGGATAAGATGTATAATAAATTTTTCATAGCCTTAACAATATTAAGATTCTTGAAAACGCGTGAACAAATTTTGGGCAAAATATTGAATGATTTTGGATTTTTTAAAATGAACAGAATTTCAAATATTGTAAGCAAAAAGAATTTTAGATTTTTTAAACAATTGCCATAATTAGTAAGTCAAATTGGTTGACTCATTTTTTTTATGAACTTTCCACAAATGATTTATTTACCATCCTTTTTCAATCTATATAGATATAGATGGCAGATCCACATGTTCAAAATTAGTACCAACATTCATCGATACACCTAAACTGGGCCGACTGTGTTGTGCATAAACATGACTTTCTAATACTGATAATAATTCGAATTATTCTATATGAACTTCTCGACTGAAGTTACAAATACTATTCCTAATCATAGCTTAATCTTCTCCACACATTTTATTATAGCAAAAAACATAATCCTATAGAAAGCCAACATGCCAAACAAGATGGATACATCAATCCACTTGGAGTATCCCATCTCAACTTGCCAAACACTCCTCAATATCTCATCCCCACTAATACTCCTTGACATCCCTCCACATCCAACTCCCTCTTCAAACTTCAATCCCTCAAACTCATTCTTATAAAACCCTTCATTTGCGTACTTGTGAAACGCAATGTAGTACATCGGGTACCTCCAAAATGGCACCGGCAAATCGTTCGGCAGTCGAAAAAGCCCTCCACATAGCATCATCATGCCCTGGAGACCTGCACCAGTTATGATCCCCATGAGAAAATTGGGCACGATGCTAGCCACAATCATCATCAGGCTCTCGACCAACATCATGCACGCGAACAAGAGCAACGCAAAGTAGGCGAAGTGGTCAAAGCTCTTCTGGAGGCCGACCAAGTAGTAGGCTATTAGGCCCGGCACAACCGAAATCAATAGCAAGTAGGGGATGGAGGATAGTGTGTTCCCAACCACGAATGGGGCCACGCCATAGTGGCCGTTCAATCGCTCACGCGAGAAAATCTGGAGGAAATAATTCAGAGAATATATAATATAACGAAATAAATATTTTATAACAATTAAAAAAGTATCATGTCAATTAGTTAGTAGTACTTTTTTTTTTGTTGGAATTCAAAGCTAAATGTGTTGAGAAAATAATTGCAAGAGAAACTCTAGCTCCCCTAAAAAACTCAAGAGGTGCAATGTAATGGAAGTATAAATTGAACTTTCCCTCTAGCTAGGTCAACCTAATAATTTTTTTGTAATTTTGTTTAAGAAGTAAAGAAAGAGAGAGAGAGAAAAAAGGGAAGGGCCAAAACAAGATAATATTACTTTCATTTCCTCCACAAAAGAAGGGAAGCCACCAATGGCCATAAAGGTCAAGAATGCAGCCACAAACATCAACATTGAGCCTCTTGCCTGGAAACACAATCAAACATTTTGCATGACAAAATTTTCAACGAAATCATGTTTGCAAAATTTATAAGAAACAGCTTTAACCCGTGAACGTTCTTACACCAAGAAAAAAAATTTACCTGGATGGAACTGTAACTATAGCCAATGTTGTGAAATATTGTCCCCACGCACACGCATACTGCAATGTATATAGCTAGACGAAGCCAGTAATAACCCAAATCACGATACATGTTCACAAAAGATCTCCGAGTCAGAACAAGACATTGTGTAGTTAATCCAGCATGCTTCTCCTTCATGATCTCCAGTGGTTCTCTATTCTTGAATTCCGGTCATCACAACCATCATATGTGGATATATACCTAATTAATAAACATTGTTTTGAAGTTATTTTTCTATTAAAGATACATTTCTAATACCTTCAAGTCCATGATATGGTGTAGTCGTTGTTGTACTTGGCGATTAGCCCCGGACGAGGTGTACAACTTGGCAAGAAAATCAATGGCTTCAGTTGCGGTTATCATACCATGAAATCCTTGTTCGATATCCTATATGATATAATAAATAATTACTCATCACATATAAGTATGTCTTTTCTATCAACCAAAATTTGTAAGCTGTCGAATAATTTCACAAAAAAAAAACTCACGGCATCGAAGTCCTTGTTTATAGTCCTGAGGTAGTGGTCTGATGGATTTCTCATGGATGGACATCGAAAACCATTTGAGGCAAAAAACTGTTTCGGAATTACCATAAATTAATTAGTCAATAAGATTTTTTTATTCATATAAAGTGAATATTCTTTTAGCTATTTTCCAATCAGATGATCATCGAAAAATAGATACAAGACTGTTCTCAACAAATATGTCAAAAAGAGTTTATAAACATAAATGATGTGTATTTTGACTCATTTGCACTACACTAACTACTTTCTTAAGAAGAAATGATTTATATAATTTCTTTAATTTTTTTTTTTGGTACCTCATTTGCTGCCGAAGCAGAACCAAAGTAGACCATCTTCCCAGATGACAAAAGACACAAATTGTGAAAAAGCTCAAAGACCTCCCCACTTGGCTGATGAATAGAGACAACAACTGTCCTTTTGTCTTGTCTCGCAAGTTTGATTATCCGGCTCATGACGTGGTAAGAAGCCGCGCTGTCCAAGCCGCTCGTGGGCTCGTCCAGAAAGAGTAGTTTGGGCCGAGTCAGGATCTCTATGCAAATGCTTACCCGTCTCTTTTGTCCGCTGCTAAGCCCCTTCACACTCCACCCCCCAATTCTAGTGTCGATCGCGTCCTGTAGGCCCATTTCATTTATTGTCTGCTCGGCCCGTTTTCTCTTATCGGGCTTGGACATGGAGTCCGGTAGTTGGAGCTGGGCCGAGTAGTGAACGACTTCTCGTACGGTTAAGGTTGTCATTAGCGTGTCGTCTTGAGTCACATAGGCCTAATAATGAGATTAAACAAAAAAAAAAAATGAAAAGTAAAAAATTGCATTAATTGCCACTGACATTTGCATCTGATGTACAAAATCACTGCTTAGCTATGGTTGAATTTAATTGATTGTTGTACGGAACAATGAATTAATGGGCTTGATTGTTTATAAATTAATTTACTCAATTATTTTAGACTCAAAATCTAACTCAACTTTATTATTTTTAATATTATTTATATAATTAAATAATACAAATCAATTACATCACATCAACTTTAATTCATTATTCATACACTCACTTAATTTTAACTATATATTATTTTCAATCATTTATCTTTTTTACATCAAATCAATTTTAATCATTTTATTTTAAATATTATTTTAATACATTCTTAAAATTCCACTAACTAACTATACCATATTTTCTAAAATTAACTATAGTTAATCAAAATAACTCATTTTAAACAAATTATTTGATAAACAATCAAGCCCTAAGGCACTACTTAAAGAAATTAAGATTTAATTAGCTATTGTTTTGATGTGTGAAGGCTTTGGTGACCGTACAGAAGTGCCAAATGCGAGTGCCTGCTTGCGGCCATTGAAGAGAATGTCCCCCTTTTGTCTGGTGTTCGAATCGAGCCTCCCTGAAATCACGTTTTTTTTTATTTATTTATTATTATTTTATTTAATTTTCTGAAGAAAAAAATATGGCACAAAATTTATAATTAGGACCACATGTCCACATCTTGGACGTATATTAAATGTCGAATTAAGATAAACTATTCCGTAAGCGACTGGAGTACCAAGAACGCCGTCAGAAATCTAACTATTTTAATCAAATTTTTTTTACAGCCTATTAAGAAATTAACGATTCGTTGGTAGATGGGGATATAATTAATGTTTTGATAAACGAATTACATGGTCCGAGTTTTAAAAGGTTTGGTAAATAGTTGTTTCTTATTAGTTGTTATTTATATTTTAAATGTTTTTATTTTTAATATTTTGTAAATAATTGAAAATATTTTCTTCAATTTAAAGAAAAATCACACAAAAAGCCATGTGAACATTACAAAAAATTTGTTATATTTCAACAAAAAAATCCTATGATAATATATTTTAATGGAAATTTCAACGGACATTCCAATAGAAATATTCTGTTGGAATGTGTTTTTCATTGGAATTTGATGATTCCAACGGCTTTTTACCATAAGAATTTCTGTTGGAATTTGTATTTCTACCCCCATTGGAAAATCTACTTTTGAAATCGTCAAAATCCAACGGAAATTCCAATAGAAAACTCATTCCAACAAAAAATTTTATTGAAATTTCTGTTGAAATCCATTGAAAAATTCTAATGGAATTAATAACATTGAAATATCCATTAGAATTGTGGTTGGAATAATTCTATTGGAATATATTTTTGTTGGGATTTCATCATTTTCTTGTAGTGGAAAACACTCCATTTTGTACCCAAAAAAAAAAAGAAAAAAGAAAGAAAAAAAGAAAACACTCCATTCTATAGCATTTTCATTTGCACTGGTTACATAAAACAAGATGGTTGAAAAAGTCAATTACCAACTATTTCTCGAATGGCGTTTTCCAAACAGAGTGGCTCAAAACCGCCAACTTTTGCCCAGATCGCGATTTATCAAACATGCCTAATCTCTATTCTCTTGATTATGAATGAGCATATGAAATTTGACCGCCGAGTTACAATTAGATACTATTATTAGTGTAGTGTCAATATGGCTTGTTGGGGCGGGGGAAAGAAATAATGGATTAACTTTTTTTCTACTTGTTACTATCTATTATAATAAATGAGAATGGTACAGTCATATTACAGTATAGTTTCGTCGGTATTTTTAACTATAGATACACATGTAGATTTGTGATATGTAGATAATCTATGGTTAATTGGTTTAAAACACCAACGGAACTATACTGTAACAGGACTGTAGTAACCATTCAGCGGACGAAATTATTAATATTATTCGTGATCATAATGAACATGCCAAACATGGCCTAATATCTTTGGTTATCAATGATCACATGAAATTGTGGTTAGAAAAATCAGTGTTTAGAAATCCTAACTGATAGCAAGGGACCAGGTCAAAACTCAATCAAGTCAGCCTGAATCAAGTCACTATGATATTGACCTGGCCTCGATTTTTAATAGATTATGTACAACTAATTATGCCAAATGTACAAACACTTATGACTTTATGTTTTACCTATTCATTGTAGGCAACCTATTTTGTAATATTTACACATGTGTCCCATGTATATAAGGGAAATGATGTATCAGACTGATTCACTTTTTGTTCAATACAGAAAACCTAATTTTCCTCTTCTTCTCCGATGCTTCTCTACTTTCTCTTTTTCTCTTCTGTATGATTTGATGAACATTATTATGGTATCAGTCGCCGGCGCCTCACCGATCCGGTTATAGATCTCTTTTCCGCTGCATCTTCCCTCGCCTTCATCAAAAAGGCGACTTCATCTTCGATTTACTGTTTCACATTCTGGTTTTGCCCGGTTTTAACCTCGATTTGTACAAATCTACTTTGATCTGTACGATTTCGGTTTCGATCTGTGCAATTAACGATTTGACTTGCGATTGACGATTTGATTTCTCTGCGGTTCATCACTCTGATCGATGGCAAACCCTAGCTTCACAGACGATCCGACATCGCCATACTTTCTTCACCCGAGCGACAATCCTGGAGCGCTTATTGTCGCCGAAATCTTTGATGGTAACAACTTTGTCTCTTGGTCTCGCGCGATTACCATGGCTCTGAGCGTCAAAAACAAGCTTGGTCTTGTCGATGGTACAATCTCTATACCTCCTACTGCTAGTAATCTTGAGTTTTTGGCCTGGACTCGTGCGAACAATCTCGTCCTGTCGTGGTTACTAAATTCTATTTCAAAAGACATCAGACAATCATTACTATTCTTCACCTCTGCTAAAGATGTTTGGGATGAACTGAAAGCTCGTTATGCATTGAGCAGTGGTCCACGAGTTTTCCAAATTGAAAAATCTTTAAGTACAATGGATCAAGGCTCAATGACTATTACACAATATTATAACTGCTTCAAGACTCTTTGGGATGAATACTTGTCTTATAGACCTATAATCCGTTGTACCTGTGGTGCTCTTACTTCATGTACTTGCAACATCTTTGATTCCATGGTTAACTCTCAACAATCTGATTCTGTGATAAAATTTTTGATTGGTTTGAATGAGTCCTACTCTGCATTGAGATCACACTTACTCCTGTCTACACCTCTCCCGAATCTCAACAAAGTCTATTCCCTTCTCCTTCAAGAAGAAAGCCAGCGTACCTTACACACCAAATCTCATGATTCTATGGCCATGGCAGCTAAGTCTCATTTTCAACCACAGAAACCCTACAAACCACCTTTCAAAACCACTGACACATCAAAATCCTACAATCAGAAAGATCAGACTAAGCCTCGTCCTAAATGTTCCCATTGTGGATATCTTGGCCATACTTCAGATAAATGCTATCAACTTGTTGGCTACCCTTCTAATTGGGATGGACCTCGTGGTACTCGAATCCATCCAAGACACTCTGCTAATTCTGTGATCTCAACACAGCCTGGTTCTCATGATAACTCTGAATCTTCCATGACTGATCATTTGTTTCATGAATTTTTAGCTTTTAAAAAGTCTTATGAACAGAATGTATCTGCACCTCCTATGGATACTCAGAATACTGTTAGTGCTAATGCTTGTGTCACTCAGACAGCTCCTGCAACAGGTATTTCTAATTCTGTAGGTGTTTCATGTTCTGCTCATTGTGTTTTCAATGCTTGCACATGGATATTAGATACTGGAGCTTCGGACCACATGATTTGTGATAAATCCTTATTTACTTCAAACTTGTTTCACACTTCTATACCTGTTAATTTACCAAATGGAGAAGTCACTTTTGCTTCACACATGGGTGATATTCAGTTATCTGCTTCTATTGTTTTAAAACAAGCACTGTTTGTTCCTCATTTCAAGTTTAATCTCATTTCTATATCAAAATTGGCTGCCACAAATAATTGTGTCATAAATTTCTTTGCATCTCACTGCATATTGCAGGATCTGACATCACTCAAAGTGATTGGTTTTGCTGAAGCCAAAAGTGGTTTATATCATTTTGACCCTTCTGCATCTTTACATACTTCATCTATATCTCATAACCCTGTATCCCATGTTAACACAACACATGTCTCTGATGCAAATACTTGCAAAAACCTTGTATCCCCTGACATATGGCATTCTAGACTTGGCCACTTATCTTTTACCAGAATGACTGAACTTGATATTCCTATTTCAAAGCATAATAATCCTTGTGATGTATGTCATTTTTCTAGACAAAAGAGACTTCCCTTTCAACTTAGCAATTCAACTGCATCATCTTCTTTTGAGTTAATACATTGTGATGTTTGGGGTCCATTTTCTGTACCTTCATATGCTGGTCATAAATACTTCTTAACCATTGTGGATGATTACAGTAGGACAACATGGGTTTATCCTCTATTTCAAAAATCAGATACTCACTCTAGCTTAAGACATTTTCATAACATGGTCAAAACACAATTTGACAAAAACATCAAAGTCTTAAGATCTGATAATGGCACAGAGTTCCTACTGCATGATTTTTTCAATGAAACTGGTATTTTACATCAGAAAAGCTGTGTAGAAACCCCACAGCAAAATGCAAGGGTTGAGAGGAAACATCAACATATCCTTCAAGTAGCAAGAGCATTCTTATTTCATGCACATTTACCCCTGCATTTTTGGATTGACTGTATTCTAGCTGCTGTCCATATTATTAACAGAGTTCCTACTAAAGTTTTGCATAACAAATCTCCATATCATATGCTTTACAATACACCAGCATCCATTTCTCATCTCAGAACAATAGGATGTCTTTGTTATGCATCCACACTTCATTCTCACAGAACAAAATTTTCTCATAGAGCATCAAAATGCATCTTTCTTGGGTATCCCTTGGGTCATAAAGGTTATAAACTTTATGACTTAGATACCAAGAAAATAGTGATTTCTAGAAATGTTATATTTTATGAGACTGTTTTTCCCTTTAAAAATCCTTCCTCTGAACCTATACATACACCCTTATTCCCTGCTCCACATTCATTCACTCATGACTATACCTCACCAATAAATTCACACTCATCTCAGACCATCAGCACTACTCCAGATAACACTACTCAGAATCCCACTCAATCATTTCATATAAATCAAAACATACAACCTACCATCAGTAATCAATCACCTTCTGTCCATCAACACACACAGATCACCAACATTCAGCCTCAACCTATCAGAAGATCTACAAGGATTAAAACTACCCCTGCTTACTTACAAGCCTATAATCATCAACTCCCCTCTTCCTCTAACTCAGTTACTTCCACACAGTCTCCTAACATTTCTAGAACATCAAACTTATATCCCATTGAAAATCATCTCAGTACATCAAATCTGTCCACTGAACATACATGCTTCACCACATCCATCACCACTCATACTGAACCAAAAACATACAAACAAGCATCTGGCAATCCATTATGGCAGGAAGCCATGCATAAAGAAATTTCTGCATTAGAACAGACTAAAACTTGGTATCTTACTGACCTCCCTCCTGGCAAAAAACCCATAGGCTGCAAATGGGTTTTTAAAATAAAATATAAGGCTGATGGCTCTATAGAGAGATATAAAGCCAGATTAGTAGCCAAAGGGTATACCCAGGAGGAGGGCATAGATTACTTTGATACTTTTAGTCCTGTTGCCAAAATCACAACAGTTAGACTCCTCATTGCATTAGCATCCATTCATCATTGGCACTTACATCAACTTGATGTAAATAATGCATTCTTACATGGTGACCTAGATGAGGAGGTGTACATGACACCCCCACCTGGTTATTGTGATAAAAATGATCAAAGAGTTTGTAAACTAACCAAAAGTCTCTATGGCTTGAAACAAGCCTCAAGACAATGGTTTCATAAGCTTACTCAATGTCTACTTGCATATGGATTCTCTCAATCAGTTTCTGATTGCTCTCTTTTCATCAAAAAATCATCTTCCTCATTTCTTGCATTATTAGTATATGTTGATGATATAATACTTGCTGGAAATGACATTTCTGAAATTCATGCTATCAAATCTCATTTAGATAATTGTTTTACAATTAAAGACTTGGGACAACTGAAATATATTCTAGGTCTAGAGGTTGCTCATTCTGCTGCAGGTATAAATATTTGTCAAAGGAAATATGCCCTTGACATTTTACATGATTCTGGTTATTTGGGCAGTAAGCCAGTATCCACTCCCATGGATGCCAATATTAAACTTACTGGTAACAATACTAAAGATTTACCTGTAGATGCCACTGTTTACAGAAGATTAATTGGTAGATTACTCTACCTCACAATCACTAGACCTGATATTTCATATAGTGTCCAAAGTCTCAGTCAATTTCTGGTCAATCCCACTCAACAGCACTTGACAGCAGCACACAGGATCCTCAGGTATTTAAAACAGACTGTGGGCCAAGGTATATTCTTTCCTAGATCTTCTTCTTTAACTCTTACTGCATATAGTGATTCTGATTGGGCTGGCTGCATAGATTCTAGAAGGAGTATTTCTGGTTATGCTATATTTTTGGGCAACTCTTTAATATCTTGGAAATCTAAAAAGCAACCAACAATTAGCAAGTCTTCAGCTGAAGCTGAGTATAGAGCATTAGCTTATACTAGTTGTGAGGTACAGTGGTTGCTATATTTACTTGATGAACTTCATATTACTCATAAGTCTCCAGTATGCATTTTTTCAGATAGTAAAGCTGCACTTTCCATTGCCACAAATCCTGTCTTCCATGAAAGAACAAAGCACATTGAACTGGATTGTCATCTCATAAGGGAAAAGATTTCCAAAGGCATCATCTCAGTTGCTCACATTCCTTCACAGCAGCAGATAGCAGACATCTTCACTAAACCACTATGTTATCCTCTGTTTTCAGCTCTCACTTCCAAGATGAACTTGAAAAATATTCATGTTCATCTTGAGGGGGGGTAATAGATTATGTACAACTAATTATGCCAAATGTACAAACACTTATGACTTTATGTTTTACCTATTCATTGTAGGCAACCTATTTTGTAATATTTACACATGTGTCCCATGTATATAAGGGAAATGATGTATCAGACTGATTCACTTTTTGTTCAATACAGAAAACCTAATTTTCCTCTTCTTCTCCGATGCTTCTCTACTTTCTCTTTTTCTCTTCTGTATGATTTGATGAACATTATTAATTTTACTCAATCATTATTTTTTTTTTTTTTGAACTTTTATTTTTAAAAATAAATCTATGTATAGATATAGAATAAATAGTTATAATAAAATATAATATTATAAAAACTATGATGTATAAGGTTTATATATAAAATTATTTCTTGCTATTATTTTATGTATAGTTATAAGATAAAAAGTAATACAAATATAATTTAAAATTTATGAAATTAATTATCCGATTCAACAATTAATTACCTGCCAATGCATCGAGAAGAGTAGATTTTCCGCAGCCGGAAGGCCCCATAATGGCCAAAACCTCCCCTGGCTCGGCATAGCCGGTGACTCCCGCTAGTATGGGCCGCCGCCCTTCCACCACGGCCATCGCCTTTTCCGGCACAGTCACCCACAAATCCTTCCACGTCAAGAAAATCCCTCTAATCCTATCGGATTTATAACTAATGGGATTATCGTGGCTTATCACGGGCTCCTTGACAAGACAAGTGGGAACATCTAAGTTTACTTGAGCAGCCATGATGTTAGAATTATAGGATGATGTATAAAGTTTAGCTGCAAAAAGGTTCTTGTGTTATTTATATACACAAAGATGCAGAGTGTATATGTGCTATATATAGAGAGACAGTAGCTTTTTGCGCCTAACAGGTATACTTATGAACGGTAATTCATGTCTTGGTTGATTTAGTTACTTTCTCGAGGGGTAAGATTTTAAAGCTTATTTGTTACATGGGCGCGTGTGCTTATCAATCTTGTGTTATCTACATTATCTAAAATTATGTGAAAGTGATTTCAATTCCTCAGCTTCCCTTTTCATTCATGCTATGCCATTGCATGTGTACGCACCATACTTCAAAATTTGTATGTATTAAAAATATTCAGTTTAAAATCCTTTAACATAATCACTCGCAATTTTATTTGGTATCTATATTTATCACAATTATAAAGGGCTAGTCCAATTAAACCAGGATACTAAAAAAAATTGTTATATTTCAATGGACTAGTCTATAATATTTCAACGAAAGTCCAACAGATATTTCAATCGTGTATAACGTAAATCAACAATAAAATATTCCATTGAAATTAAATTTCGATTAGAATTTTAATTGGAATATGACTCTAACGACCATTTTTCCAACCGTTTATTGTTGTAGAATTTCCATTGGAATTTTTTTCCAGACCATATTCCAACCGTTGATAAACTACATTCTATATAAATGAAGAGTTTTTTGAGTTTAAATGTCTAACTTTTGGCACTTTGCGATCTTATTTGGTATTTACTTTGCTTTCTAATCTTATATGCCAACATATGATATTTTGGAGTAGTTTTATAGTTTAACTTTAAGAATTATAGAATAACTAGTATGCACCCGTGCGATAATACTATTAAAAATAATTTTATCATTATTATAATATAAAAAATAAATATTAAGAATAATTTTATATAAATAAATGTCATGTTAATATTTAGTTTTATAAATTAAATATCGGGCAATGGTATGAAAGAACCCTTGACCGACTCGGTTAGACCTAGATCTATCGTCCTCGTTGGTGGTTGACCTTCAATACATGCAAAAACTCGACACCAAATAGGTTTTTCGGCGAAGAGCCTCCGATGCTTAATTTAGCACGATGAAGAAGACGATGAACAGTATGTAAGTGTATACAGAGAGTGTGTATGTAACAATGGGCATACCTCACTCCCTTATATGGTTGTTGCCTAAGACTGCCCAAGTGGGCTGCCCAGACTGCCCTTCGTACTGCCCAAACTACCCAATTTTGTTAGGCTACGTGGCCCTATCCACGTGTAGATCTTATCAAAATAATATTTTTTATCCTTTAGTCTTTGTTTTTAGACGGTCTAATCGTGCGATCAATCTTAATTACCTTGAGGTAGAGTACCACAAATGTCGAACTCCTACGTTCTGCTCATCTAGTCGATCCTAAGACTAGTTGTACCTTCATGTCGAGCTTGTGTTTTTATTTCAATGTTTAATATGATTTCTACGAATCACGTTCTTTTTTCTCTCCCCAATTGTTTCATGTCATGATCACCCAGAGTATTGCGTTAAGACTGCCTAACAATAACCTTACAAAATATTTGTGCGTATAATTGCAGTAATTAAAGAATTTTTGCAAGGAATTACAAGGATTAAAAATTTGTGATATAAAACTATAAAAATGACCAAAAACCATGGATTTATATGCAAATAATCATTTTAAAAATGACAAAAGATCTGTACAGATATTTATAATATAAATATAACTATTAATATTAAAAAAAAAAGTGTGACACGTTATTATCTCACCTAATTAATTTTCAGTACACAACTTTATTTATAGTTCTGTTCAATTAGTCATTGGCAGACATAAAATGAGTTTATAGTTCTGTTCAATAAATTATTTGTGCCATAAATTGACTAGCTGCTTCGAATATTCACGTTGTCGTGGCGTATTTCGTCTCAATTTGGACTGTCCACAATTTTGATTGATAGACATATTTGATTGGACCGTCCACAATTCTGAGGTAGGTATTGACGGTGTCCTTCGGTGGCGAATTTCTTCTTTGGTCAGAATCAGTCTTTGCCTAAAGAGTGATGGAGTTTGAAGTTTCTCGTTTCGGGTTGGAGTCGTATTTCTATCTATCTTGGATTATCGTCGGTTGTTCATCTTGCGGAAGAGGGTGAGTGGTGTTTGACGGTTGTGAGGAGGGCTTTTCTGTATTATTTAGGTGTGCGTTGTGGTTGTCTTATATGCATGTTTTTTCTTTTAGTTTTCCATTCGTAATCCAGCTATGTCTGGTTCTAATCTCTCATGTGGAATTAGAGAATGTTATAGGTACATAATATTGTACATTTTATGTACATTTATTATGAACTTGTAGAATTTTTCGTGGAGTTATATTGTCCGCTTTTGAAGTTCTTCTGTTGTGTGTTTGTTTGCGGTTGTTGTACCTCGGTTGTCTATGTAATTTTAAAGGGGTGGACCCAGTCTTTGTGTTGATTTTTTGGTGTCCGTTGACACTTTGTCTATTGTTCGATAGTTTTATATAACACCAAATCATTACTTACTAGTTATTTTCTTAGAAAATAAATTTTCTGAATAGTTTCATGAAATCATTAACCACTTTTAGCATTCAACCAAATTATCAAACACATAAAATGTATTTGGCTTCCAATTTCAAGTATTAATTCGAGCATCATAAAATTTTATTTTTGTTATTGTATAATTATTTATCATAATTATCAAAAATTTAAAATATAAATAATATATAATTTTTGTGACATTATAATTGTACATATAGTAAATTTTATTATAAGTGATTTTATATTATAACAATCAACAAAATCCATTTAATTTACCAAACATCTTTTATAAAATCGTTAATGCAGTTTACTGAACAAAACAACTAACGCACTTCTTTAACCACTTAATGTCAAAGAATGTTTGAATATAACATAGTATAAAAATGAGATAGATGATTAGCTACTAAGTTAATGAGAGTGAAAATGTATCAAATGGTAATTTACGTTACTTTTCCTGCAGTTTCATTAATTCCCCGTATTTAGTCACAATGAATTGCACCCAAATTCTGTACTATAATGACAGAGTGTGGTCAATTAAATTGAGTGAGCTACCGGAAAAGTAAAATGAAACGAAATCAATGTGATTAAAAATTATTAAAAGTTAGGTGAGTGAAACGGGCCTGCCAGAGATGGTAAAGGGACAGTTTCCTGAAAAATTCAAGGGACACTATTGGNTTTATTTTGATTGGATTTTTGGTTTGGGTTTGTTAAATTTGAAAAAGTTGGTATAGTTAGTTGTTAGGGGGTATATTAAAATAATATTTAAAATAAAATAACTAAAATTAAATTGATATAAAAGTAGGAAAGAGAAGATGTGATGTGATGGTTAGTTAAAATTATGTGAGTTGATGAATAGTGAATTAATATTGATGTTATATGTAAGAATGATTGATTGATATTATTTAATTATATTGATAATATTGATGATGGTGGGGTTGAGTTAAAATTGAGTTAAAAAAATGATTGAGTTAAAAATGATTGAATTTTTTAGGTTGGATTTATATCTAATCATGCTTTAAGTACCTACCTTGGAAGTTACACACTCATTTTCTCTTTATTTTGTTTTTTTTTCAACTGAAATTACTTCGTAATCATCAATAGAATGTAAAGCAATTTCAATGCTCAAGAAAATTCAAACAATAATTTAAAATCTTTCAACCATTCAAACAACTGAGCAATTATTACTTATTTGCTTTTTCAAAGATATTTTTGTATTTAAATTGTTTCATAGTATTCAAAATATCATGAAAATATAATCACGGATTGGCCAGTTCCTATTTAGAAGGCTGTAATTTCCTAACGGCCGCAGTTTCTACTCCTGCTAATATCATGAAAATATAATTCATAGTTATTGAACATTTCCTTATGTATAATATTCTTGGTTTGGTTCTTTGACACGTAAAGTACTGCATAGGTGTTCGAATTTTATCTAAAATTGAGTATTATTAGTTATTAGAGTCTATGTATTATTGAGTATTATCTAAAAGATATTATTGAACACTTCCCTATGCATTGACTTCTTTTCATGTGAGGCTGATTTCCATCCCAATGACTTTCTTCATAACATGGACGTGATCTCTCTTCATTTAAAGTAAGTTATTTCAAGTAGAGTCCATGTATGTGATTTGGAGATCTTCAGAATTTCGATTTCGAAATGGTGTTAGAACAGCACTTTCCTTAAATAGTCGATCATCCAAATCTAAGATGATCTTGTGGTCAATCTTCCAAATCATCCTTAGATCTTCGCGGAAACATCTAGGATTCTTCATGCGCGGATAGTTCATCCTTTCATAGTCATTACCACTTATTCCTAGTCCTACAAGAGAGAAAAAACTAATTATGGCATAGAATCAAATTCATTAATGCAAGTGATATATATGGTAAGTAAATATATGTAATCCTCCTCCTAAGGGTATAGGACTCCATAATACATACTATAATAAATATATACCATATATTATCAATAATAAATACTAGGAACTTAATTAAATCACAAGTAAATAAATAGAAAATTTCATTTAATTTATTTTACTTGCCTAACAAGAAAATCTTCTAGAAAATACTTAGGTTTGTCGGATGATGCCAAAGCAATATTTTTACATCAACATACTGGCTCTCAAGCCCGAACCATAGCTATGGAAATAGATATTTTTTGCGGTCGCTTATATTATGCTAGGTCAAACTAAGGGATCTCGAAGCACCACATTGGTCCATAATTAATGCCGGTATTTGAAGGGACGAGTAATTAAACTGCGTATCAGGTAACTTAGTTGTGACTACTTGGCGGTTGCGGAGTGCCTAGTTATGATAAAAGGTGATGCGTGGAAAGGTAGCACCTTTTTGGTCCGTTGTGATGTTTCCCGAATGACGCACATTCATGGGTCAACTTACTTCCTTTATGTAGTCTCTCTTTTGACTTTATTTACTTTTAAAATTTTTGAATAATTTCTTTAGGGTCCAGGGTAAATAACCAAGAAAACTTTTGATTCGATTATTTTCGTATGTATTCTTCTTCAGAAAGTTATAATGAGGAATTGGTAAATGAGGCTCTTATGGTCGATACTAGAGGTAGGGAGCGAGTACCTATAATATAATTCAGGGTAATGAACAAATAGATTTAGATGCCGAACGTGCAGTTAGCGCCCCAGATGGTTACTGGCGTAGACCCACACACTAATGGTTGATCACCATATAGTCAACCGACGCTATTGGTTGATCACCATATAGTCAACCGAGCCGAATGAGCAATGGCGATGTAGTGAAACTTCGAGAGTTGTTGAGGATCCCATCTACTATTAAGGATGTTTGATCTATATGTCCTACGGAAATGACACAGTCCATGAGCTAGATGTATAGGAACACTCAAGATGTGTTTGACTTCCGGGCTGCGATTTTCTCTACTGAAGATTTTGACTGAATACCTTCGAGATTGAGGTTTAGGTATTAGCCAGTGCTTGGATGACGCTGATCGGCTTGTTAGTTTTATTTAATTAGGAAGGGTGACCGACGCCTTTAGTTGAGGAAATTAGGGGTTTGTTTCAAGTCAAGAAATCTAAAAAAAGGATGAGAGACTTTTATTGTTCGATCATTGATGGGGATTTTAGATATATAGTAAGTAAAATTCCAAATTCGCTTCATTCTTTCAAGTGTGATTGGCTGTGGATACGCGGTAATTGGCAGACTCCGAGGTCGGCCAAAGATGTGGAAGTTGGGGAAAATTGTAACTACTCCCACCAAAGTTGTTGCTAAATAGCATAATTCAAAACAAATAAAATATTGGGTCCAACAAATAGATTCTTTAATATTTAGAGGACCAAAGTGCAATTTATCACCCAACGACAAAAAAGTTTAAAGATGACACGCAAAACGAAATTGCTCCCCCTTCGGCTCCGCTGAGTTGTCCGAGGGTTCATTTCAAATCAATCCTCCTCATTTTTCAACAAAAATTAACTCCACAAGTGAAAGCAACAGAAAAGCAAAGGAAAAAGGTTATATTAGTTCTCCCGTGATCAGTAAAGTGAGGAAATGGCGAGCGGTGGATACGGCGACGCCGGTCAGAAAGTAGCCTACGTCTTCAAGGTGGTGCTGATCGGCGACTCCGCCGTCGGCAAGTCCCAGTTACTGTCCCGCTTCGCGCGCGACGAGTTCAGCCTGGATTCGAAATCCACCATCGGTGTCGAATTCCAAACGCGCACGCTCCTCATCCAGCACAAGTCCGTCAAGGCTCAGATCTGGGACACCGCCGGCCAGGAAAGGTACCACGCTTTTTTCTGCTTCCTATTGTTATTCGTGTGTGTGTGTGTGTGTGTTTGTTTGATCTAGTTTTCCGTATCGATTGCTTGTGGTTACAGTTTGGTTAGCTTTCAATTTGTGATGATTTGGGCTAATGGCTGCTTGATTTGGATTGTTTGAACTTTGAAGTATGTTGGTTTAGTTGATAGAGTTGTGCATGTGTGATCTTGATTAAAATCTAACTGGGTTTAAGATTCAGTTTTTAAGCTGGACTGGAGTCCAGATCATTTTGACAGATCTCTTGTCTTGGCGGACTGATTAGTTTTGGTGTATGACTGTGTGGTTTAATCTTATAATGTCGTGATCATAGGATTGATTTTTGTTTGTGTACTTCAGTTTTTTGCGAGAATGCGGGTTTCTGATCATATATTTAGTACGTTTCTCTAATTTAGGTTCGATTTGCTTTTCGTTATTGTTTTCTAGCTTTGGTGCTTCTTCCATGTTCATATGAGAGCTTATAATTTTCTCTAATAATCTTTTGGTATTCCTTTCTTTTAAAATTCGGTAAGGTTGCCTAACTTATAATGGTTAGGCAGTCATACTTTTCTCTAAGGCCTTAATTAAATGCCAAGTTAGTCCCTACTCAAACTAAATGCCAAGTCATCTATTCAAGTTTCAATTCAATTCAGACCTTAGGGATAAGTATGCCAAGTCAGTCGCTACTCAAATTAAATGCCAAGTCATCTATTCAACTTTTCCCCACTCATCTATTCAAGTTCCAATTCAGTCCCTCCTACTCAAATTTTTCACTGCACTCCCTCCTACTATTTTCTCTTTCCTATTCAGTCACCATATATATGCTAATATTATTATTATTGATTTATTTTGCTAGCAAAAATGAGAAATTGTGTGAACAACTCTCTCTGTTCACAGATTCTCTCTCGTCTCTCTCAAAACCGTTCGCCATTCTTCGTCTCTCGTGAACAACTCTCTCTCCCATAATTTTCCAGGTCATTGAGATGATTTAACTGAGCTCATCGGAGCGGCTCTTGCCTTTATTTAATCCGCCAACCACTGTCCATCATCATCTCGCAACATGGAAAAATTTTGTGTTACGCTCTCCCTCCTGAAACCATTGTATTCTAAAACCATTGTATTCTAGACTTCTTCAACCAAATAGCATTCTAAAGTCAAGTCTTTTCCTTTCTATGACTTCACTTCGCTTCTCTTCGTACAAAAAAGCCTATTCTGAAAGCCGTCTTTCCGAACTGTCCAACGGCTTCGGACAACGAGCGATTATCAATATGCAACGGGGTGCCGATGACTTGAGCAATTTCGCCATCGTCTCTCTCTCTATTTCCTGTCGCCGTTTGTCTCTCTCCGCCGGGAAGCAATGGCACGGCTCGAAAAAGAAATCTCCATCCGAAGGGCACAAATCGTCCTCCTCGTCGACACCCACCAAGGCATTAACAAGGGTAATTTATATTTTTGTGGCTTTTTTCCCAATTTTAGGGCCTTTTCAATTTAGGTCTTTGTTCATAATTTTTATTTTTGTCTTCAATTTGAAAATTTTAGGGCTTTGGAGAGTTATGATTTTCAGTGAATTTCTAAGTTTGAATTATAATAGGGCCTTTCTGTTTAATTGAATTTATGTGAATTTCTCAGTAATTAGGGAGGGTCTTTATCTGTATGATTTTTGTAATATCAGTAATTAGACCAATTGTGAATTGTGAATTTCTCAGTGGTTATAATATTATTGTCTTGTACATCATTTTTTGTTTATCTGTGTAATCGAATTTCATCGAATTCCTGTGAAGATTTTTTTTTTGTTTCTTATGTTTGAAAATTATCTTTGTTTTATATTTTGTGATAGGGCACTGAATTTAGATGTCGATGTTGCCTTCTTACTTTAAGGATGTGATGTCGATGTGCCCCTTCTTATTTTAAGGATGTGCTGTTGTCTGATCAACACAAGCAGGCTCTTCAACAGGATATAATCATTTCACATACTAGAATTGAGGTTATAATAAGAACATACAGTGCAGACATTAATGTCTTTGCTGTTGGTGATGGTTTGTTTTTAAATTTTGATCCGGCCGAGTTTTGTGTCAAGATGGGGCTACGACAGGGTGGTATAAGTGTAGACTTAGATCTTAGTTTGGAGTCTAAAGTCCTACTCGACGTTTGAGGTCGGGTAGATAAGAAGTTTTTGAAAAGAAAGTATGTGGTAGAATTGTTACAAAAGTTTGCTGTGGATGAAGGTTTCCGTGTTCAGAGTTATTCCATCCCTAAGTTTGTTTACCCTTACTTGGAGGATGTGAGTCGAATTTCTGAGGAGCAGATGCTACTCATAAACCGAACTTGTTCGTCATACTGAATTGAGAGACAAATCGTACTTTGATGGATGTGCTGTTGGACTGATGGTATGTATATATGGTTTCAATGTCTTAATACAATAATATTAAATTGTGAGAAGGCACGTACAACCAAACCTACACATACACATGATTTCAAAATTACACAATCTCACAATTTAATATTATTGTATTAAGACATTGAAACACATATATACATACACTAGTCCAACAGCGCACATCCAAAGTACGATCACATCCAAAGTACGATCATTCTCTCGATTCAGTTTGGCGAACAAGCTCGGCAACCAAGAATGTATGAATAGCATCTCCAATGCGTACTCAGAAATTCGACTCACATCTTACACGTAAGGGTAAACAAACCTAGAGATGGAATAACTCGAACACGGAAACAAAATACAGCATACAGCTGAACACAAAAGACTAAACATCCTGATGAAGTCGCCTACACGACCTGACAACAAATTTTTCTAACAATTCTACCACATACTTTGTTTTGAAAAGCTTCTTATCTACCCGATCCCAACTGTCTATTACTGTCAAATAGAGCTTTAGACTCCAAACTAAGATCTAAGTCTACATTTAGACGTCGTAGCTCCATTGTGACACAAAATTCGGCCGGATCAAAATTTAAAAACAAACCATCACCGGCAAAAACATTAATATTTGCCTTGTATGTACTTATTATAACATAGCCTCAATTCTAGTATGTGAAATGGCTATATCAGACATATTAAAAATAAAAAATAAAAAGGGTTCTGTTGAAGAGTCTGTGGTGATCAGACAACACAACAAGAGTTCGGTCCATCACATCCTTAAAGTAAGAAGGGGCACATCGACATCTAGATTAAATGCCCTATCACAACATATAAAACAAACAGAATTTTCAAACATAAGAAGGGGCACATCGACATCTAGATTAAATGCCCTATCACAACATATAAAACAAACAGAATTTTCAAACATAAGAAAAAAAAAAACATCTTCACAGAAATTCGATTACACAGATAAACAAAAAAAAAAAACATGATGTACAAGACAATAATACTATAATCACTGAGAAATTCAAAGTTGGCCTAATTACTGAGATTACAAAAATCATCGTGATTACAGAGAAAGACCCTAATTACTGAGATTACAAAAATCATCGTGATTACAGAGAAAGACCCTAATTACTGAGAAATTCACATAAATTCAATTACACAGAAAGGCCCTATTATAATTCAAACTCAAAAATTCATAACTCTCCAAAGCCCTAAAATTAGGAGAAAAGCCCCAAAAATCAGAAATCGCCCTTGGTAAAGCCTTGGTGGGTGTCGAGGAGGAGGACGGTTTGTGCCCGTTGGATGGAGATTTTTTTTTCGAGCCGGCCATTGCTTCCCGCCGGAGAGAGACGAAGGCGACTGGAAAAAAGAGAGAGAGAGACGACGGCGACGGGAAAATTGTGGGAGAGAGAGAGAGTTGTTCACGAGAGACGCCAAACGATTTTGAGAGAGAGACGAGAGAGAATCTGTTCAAGCAGAGAGAGAGAGTTGTTGACACAGTTTCTGATTTTTGCTAGCAAAATAAATAAATAATAATAATATTAGTATATATATGGGGACTGAATAGGAAAGAGAAAATAGTAGGAGGGAGTGCAGTGGAAAATTTGAGTAGGGACTGAATTGGAACTTGAATAGATAACTTGGCATTTAATTTGAGTAGGGATTGACTTGGCATACTTATCCCTAAGGCCTTAATTAAATCCCTCACAGCTTAAAAAACAATTTATACGGAAATATGACCTTTTATAGTATAAGTATGCGCTTTTATTCAAGAAGTATGACGGGTTGACCCGCCTTACTGTTAGGTTATCTCACTATGGAATCTGTGTTTGAAATTTATGGTTTTTGTTGACAAATCTTAAAATAAATTTACAAAAGAAATTTGGTATTTCAAATGCAAAATTTTAACAGGACACTCAGAGTTTTATGGTGAAATAGATTTTAGATGAGACCATATCTAGACTGAAATTCACAGCTAAAATAGCCTTACTTCAAAATATTTCTTAGTCTTAACCTCAAATCCTAAATAAAGTCCACACATTTTTTGTTCTGAAAGTAGTGTCCGTTAGGAAACCAGGATTTTAATTAAACTCAACACATTCAAGCATTTGGTTNTGTGTAATACACTATTTCCCTCAATTGCTAAGCTAACTTTATTTGGTTTGTCTATAAGTTGTGTGTAGATACTAGGTGCTTAGCTTGTATTATAAGCTAAGATGTTCCCATTATTCTTCCGAATTGGCCTGCTTTTAATTGGAAGACTTGATGCTGGGAAAGAATGCTAAAGAGCACTAAAATGAAGGGAACCAACTGATTTCAGTTGACTCAGATCCGGATTATTACTATCATCTTTATGCCTATGGATGTTAAGATCCATGCAAATATTACTAATTTGGGTGGTTGGAATCCAGTTTAAGTACGAGAATAAAGAATAGGCATCTTGTGTAAATAATAAAATAAATTATAAACCTATCAGAATTACACGTCAAATTCAAAATTCTAGCACATAAAAAAGAACAATAATTCGTCGGAGGTGACACAAAATACTTCCAAATGACACCACTTAGTGGTTTGCCAATTAGGAAGGGTCTTACTTCTAAAGCATTTCATATTTAGTTTCTAATTATCTACTCAGCTGAAAGCTATTTTACAGTTTGCCTTAATTCATTTTCCCAACATAAGAATCAGCAAGTTAGCTTATATAAATCACATAAAAGCTGACTAACAGGCAACAGCTGCTCCGAAAATTTTCCAGACGTGTGGTAATATGTGTCGGTAAACATTCTCTAACTTCTTAAACAATTAGTCGCGTGGCCCTACTATTCTCATCAGGCTGTTCTTCTTAAACAATGTAATCTGTTATTGGGTTAAACAAAATAACTTCTCAAATCTCACTGCATCGACTCACCTTTTGTCTGGATGACCTCATTTCTTAAACAAATTATAAGTTCTTAAAACTCTTTTTAAGCTTCCATTTGAATTTCAAATCACTCTCAATTTTCACAAAAATCCGCAACTCCTAACTATTTTCCTATTATTGCCAAAAAAAAAAAAAATAATAGGTACAGGGCTGTGACGAGTGCGTACTACAGGGGTGCTGTGGGGGCCATGCTGGTTTACGACATAACCAAACGGCAGACGTTCGAGCACATTCCTCGCTGGCTGGAAGAGCTTCGTTCCCATGCGGACAAGAACATTGTAATTATCCTGGTCGGCAACAAATCCGACCTTGGGGACCAACGGGCGGTCCCCACAGAGGACGCCAAGGAGTTTGCTCAGAAAGAGGGTCTCTTCTTCCTCGAGACCTCGGCCATGGAGGCCATGAATGTGGAGGAAGCATTTCTTACAGTGCTGACCGAGATTTTCAACATTGTGAACAAGAAAAGCCTTGCTGCTGCTAGTGAGGGTGAGGGTAATAATGGTAATCCAGCTTCTTTAGCTGGCAAGAAAATTTTGATCCCGGGTCCCGGTCAGGTGATCCCGGAGAAGAAAATGTGTTGTAGTTCGTCCTGA